TTTAGCTTCTTAGTGCTGTGCTTTAACCCACTGCGCCACCAGGGAGGAACCCATAAGCTCTAAATTTATCTCAGGAACAAATAAGCTCAGCTTTGACGCTCTGCTGGGCTATGAGAACCTATCCGATTCCTGCCTACAGAAAGCATATAGAAAGAATGTTTGATTCTTCTCATCCAATGCCCTTTTCTATTTTAGTAACACTAATCAGTTCTTCATCCCCTTTTATGTCACCACTGACTTTTGCTTTACTGAATAGGTCAATTGTCAGTCTGCTGATGACTTGACTTATCAGAGATCCGATTCAGTGTGCCATTGTCCTTGAAACACCTTAGTCTGTTCATTTCCAGAAACTACAGCTCTCGTGGGTTTCCTCTTGCAACACTGGCCTGCATCCTGACTCCTGTGCTGTGTGTGTCCTTTCTTCTCTTTGCCTCTAAATGTTGGATCACTCTTGGCTTTCGTCGGGACCCCCTTTTCTTCTTAATACTCTGTCTAGTGGTTTCATGTAATCCCATGACTTTGTCCCACACTATCTGTATGCTACTGGCAACCACATTTATATTTCTTGAGCCTCTGTCTGTTGATCTGAATATTCAAATGAGAAACATGATAAATTCTCTTGGAATTAACATTTCAAGAAAAGAGCTTTTTGTTTCTTTCCCAACACCATTTCCCAATGTTCCCATTTCAGTAAATGGTATCACCATTCATCATTCTTCATTCTCCCTTGTTACCCATCAGTTAAGTCCTGTGGCATCTCCTTCTAGAACATAGAGAATTTGATCACCTGGCACCGCCTTCACAGCTGTTATCTTTCTCCTGAACAGTTGAAATAAATTCCCAATTCTTGAATCTTTCCTCCCCTCAAAGCTCCTGATATATATTCTGATATTTGGCTTCCTGCACCTAACAGCAAAGTTCCAGTACCGTTTCATTAAGAAATCAACTGCAACTATTCTGATAACCACTGCAGTTTTTGTAGAGTTGTCTCACTGAGTTATTTTTGTGTGTTTTGTTATTAAGTCATTTACTTTGGTTCTTTATATCCACAGAAGAGTAAACCCATCCAGTAGTCATCCTTAACTTTCTGATTTGTCTTAATCACCTCAAATTCCATACATGACAGGTATGACCCTATACCTTTAAATCATATACAATGTTATAAACCAATGTTTTATGTTTTGATGGCTTAGTAGTATTCCATTGAGTAGCTCTATCTATAACTACTTTCTCCAGTCATCTGTGGATGGGATGGACAGGTTGTTTCCATGTCTTGTGAATGAGGCTCATATGAATATAGGGTGCACATCTATCTTCAATTTCATGTTTTTTTATCTTTCAGATAAATACTTAGGATAATATTGTTGGATTATATGGAGTCTTTCTTTTCAGTTTTTTAAAGTAATTTCCATACCATTTTCCTGCACCAATTTATAATCCCACCAATGGCGTACAAAGAGTCCCTTTTCCTTCAGACCATAGCCAACACTGGTTGTATCCAGTTTTTATGAAATAGGTCATTCTCATAGAAGGTGCTAGCTCATTGAAGTTTTGATTTGCATTTCCTAAATAAGTGAAGTTGAGCATTTTTTGTTTTTTATGTACCAGTATATTTCCCCTAATCTCATTACAAAGCTCTGAGATGTCAAGGGCCATTTCCCTTAAATCTATGGTCCACTGTGCCTTCTACAGCCCCAAATCTGTCACCTTCAAGCCTGTCTGAATAATGGATGTCACTTTCATCCATGGCTTGATGGGTGTTTTTACTGTTACAAAGAAACACTAAAGTCATTATTGATTTTTCTTTTTTCTGCACAACTATCCATTCAAAATAGAAGCAATTAATTTTTGGAAGAGGATTGGTTTTATCATAATTATTTCAAACCAGCCACTTTTATTATTATGCAAGGTACTGCACTACTATGAAGTCAAACTTCTATCTTTAAAAAAAACCTAATGCTTACCTCAAATAATTAAGTGGGTAAGAATATTGTTAGCTGGATTGTTGCGTTCTTCCTCAGCATTCACACCAAGTTAAGCCCATCAGTATACGGCAGGCACCGAGCAAGATAACTGCATCAGCGCTGAGTCATCTGGGCTGAACAGTTTGGTTCAGTGTGACCAAAAAAAGTCAGATTTTATAATCAGTGGAGAAGTTTGCTCTGTAGCTCCCCTATAAGCATTTTTCTATTTGCTTTACTGGGCAATATTTTACAGAACTGTAGTAACATATACATAAGATAAAATTTACCATCTTAGCCATTTTCAAGTGTATAACTCCAAGGTGTTAAGTACATTTACACTAACATGTAACCAATCGCCAGAAATTGTCCTGTCTTGCAAAGCTGAAACTAGCCATTCAATGATTCCCATTCCACACCTTGTAGACTTGGCAAGGCTTCCAATTTTATTTATGAAATAGCTTTCATTTATCTATAGCCCTGGTGTGATTTGACAAGAGACTCCTGTCCTCTTCTCTTGCTTGCAGAGGTCCACCATTGGTAATAACCATGATACCACCTACAAAGATGCTGACTTTTTGTTAGTACTCTAGTAAATATTTGTAAGAAAACAAACTGCTTCTAATCAGGTAAATTTGTAACTGCAGCATCAATGATAATAAGAAAGGTATCCATGATATAATGAGTGGAAAAAGTCTGGTTGCCAAATAGGTAGTCTGATCTCATTCTTATTTTAAATTAAAAATGTGTTCACAGATTTGCATGTATATGCATGTATTACTGGTGTATAATGTTATATATACATGTGCACACATATATGTATACACACATATCAAAGCACGGTAGAGAGAGACAAATGGCACATTATTTTTTCCTTGTTTATGCTCAGCAATAGGAGAAAATGCACTGCAAACTTAAAAGAATACTGAATAATATGTTAACTGTGATTATCTTTAGGAGATGGGAATGTAGGTAACTTTTGTTTTACATTTTCCAATTACTTAATAATTAGAAACATTTGCATATTGTGCAATTTTTCGTTACATAGTTAGCTTTATATCCATATTTTCAGTTATTTCTATTAAAGGGTATATTGACATAGTAAGTTTATTTTATCTTTAGATTTTCCCCCCTCCCCTTCACCCCCAAAATAACATACCTCATACCACATTGCCTAACATTATGAAATGAAATTCTGGCACAGTCAATAAGCAACATGACCAAATATAATTAGCCTTAAATTCCTCACTTTAATTAAGCATTACGTTAAGATATGCTACTAAAATGCAAACATTAAGTACATCTTGTCAGATAATACTTAGAACATCTTAATATCGAGAACTTTGTCTACAATTTACCCATTGCACAATTACATACGACATATACATTGCAAAATAATATTAGCACATAGTTTTTACAGTAAATGAATGAAGACAATCTCCATTTAAGCATTTAGATTGAAATTATTCATCTATCTGCCAATGTTCCAAGTAAGCAGGAAAACCAGTAATACCCTAGTTTTACGTCAAATGGAAGTGTATGGGTTTAAAGACTTTGTAACATAGCACTATTGAATAGCCTAGATTAAAAGTTTCTTGAGTGGTTTATCTTTAGGGACTATTTTAACTAACATGCAATCTCTCCCATTTTGTGAAATTCCTCTTTTGTGACTTAGAGGTTCTGGACTCTGGATTTCAGTCCAGAAACTTCAGTGCTTCCCCACATGCTCACTGATAACCACAGGTGCCCAAATAGCTTTGATCTGGTCGATAGTTTGGGCCACCATAACATACGGAGGAAATAAGAGAATATATGAGAGAATAAAAATCCACTAAATTACTAACGCGCACAATTACTAAAGTTACTGTGAAAATTTAAGTGATTATCAAAATGGTGGAATGGTGAGTAGAGAACAACTGGTGAGCTTGGAACCCAAGTCCTAACTCAGGATTTCTCACAGTTACGACGCATGAGCTTTGACAAGTCAAAGTCATGGGATGGTGATTTTTTTTTGACATAGAAGGATTCTGGAGCAAACTTATTATTTAAAACCCATTTCAGATGCACAGTTAAACAAACTGTGATACCTAACCGCTCTCAGTTTCTGCTTTGGCATCAGTAAAAATATCAGTTGTAATATGATTTAAAACCAAACTGTGAAAGCATTTTCAAAATATGATGCCATAAGAACCACCAGAATATTATCCCTTCAGAAAATTTATTCAGGAAATCTATTCAGAAAATTTTAACCTTCTGATCTAAAATACTTTTTAGTTATGTGATGTTCTCATTTTCTTGATTATTTATTATGAAAGCTAAATTCTGCGTAAAAACTTAGATTTTTATTATTTTAAAAATTTCTTTAGAAACTGCTTTCAGTAGTGTTTTATAATATTCTTAAAGTTCCTGTTTTCTTTGTTTTGAAGTGTGACATTCTTTGGGTGATCAATATGGTTTACAAATTAGAAGTTTGATCCACAAGTTGACAGGTTTTTAGTGTCCTTAGCTGGAGTTAAATTTCCCTCATATCAACACAACTTAATGAACAAACAGCTATTTGAAGGAAACCTTTGTAAGGAAACTGGGGGTGCATTCTCCTTAAGTAGATTATTCAAGATGATATGCTTGATTCTCTCCCTTGGACCTCAGAAAACAAAAAGTCCTGAATTGTCACTCAGTTCACAAAACTCAGCCTTATTTCTGCTCCAAGAGAAGGGGTGATTTCATTCCACTAGATAATTTCAGCCAATTGCTCTAAACAGGAAATAATATGGTATTATAATAAAACAAAAATCAACATATGAGGGAGCTAAACTTGTAGACTCTACCTCAGCTTCCCTTTTACCCTGCTTCACAAGCAACACTAAACAATTAGTATTTACTTTTCAGAGGCCCTACTATAGATTACTTTTGCATTTCCATTTCAGTGGCATGGCCTAGAGTGTCCAGGAAAATGGAAATTTTTTTCTTGGGTGCTAAAACTATGTAATATTTAATAACCATTACCAGTAATCCCTAACAACCATATGTAACACTGAACATTTTTTATGCTTTTATTAGGTTCCATATGTTTTAAATGAATGCATTTATTCAAGTCGCACAATAACTAGAGGCAATAAGAAGTCACCCAATAGTACAGAAGAAATGATCTGGAAGTGTAAGAGGCTATTTGATGTGAAATTAATGACACACCTTTAGTATCTGACCTGCCTAAAAGGAGCTGTGCTTTTCCCCAAGTTTTTTCACTTCCCTGGAATTTGCAAATACCTTCTTAGCTGAAAATAACTAAATCAATACAATAAACACTTACCAATGGATTCTGGTAGGTGCTGTGTTTGTATTAAGGGGATAAAGGAACAAATAAGAAAGACTCACAGTCTCATGCTGATAATATTGCTGGTGATGATTTCATTAAGTACTCTCCAAGTTCTAGCAGTATCAAAAGGCTTCCAGTTTTGCTTATGAGCTGTCTTTTCTCTGTAACACTAACATGACCTTACAAAACAATCCAAGATGTTTTTCTTATCTGGCACAGACTGCAGTAAGAAAGCAGAGGTGCAGTGGGCAGTCTTCTGAGTGACCATCTTCATTGTGGATGATGGTCCATAACCCACTGGGTTTTTTGACATTCTAATACTAGATATGCAATGAGATGTCTCACTGACTCCTTAGTTACTGTGAATTCTTATTACATTTTATAGATTTAATAAAATCCACTATTTTTAATAACAATTACATCTTAAGGGATATATCATTTCTAAACAACGATGCATGATTTTAGGGTCTAGGAGGTAAGATAAGTTTGTACATTTGGTATAACACAGAGATTTGGACAGAATGCAGTTCTCTAGACCACATGAAAGCATGAGAAAGGTGTGTGGATTCTGAGGGGAGAAGGCTGATGGCAGCTCAGTCGTGCTATATGTACAGCTAGTTGTTCACTCTGAGTCTCAGTATTTTTATCGGCAAACTGAGGATAATAATCTCTACCTTCAGTAGTTGTAGAGATAAGAAATGACATTTGTAAAGACCCAGCAGAGAGCATATAATAGGTTCTTAATAAGTAAGAATTATTCACATCTATTACCTCTGCATTGCACTGTTGGCTCGAAAGCATTTCAACTCCAACAGCATACATCTGATCTGTAGTAACTAGCAGACCAGTTCAAGAATAAGTACAATTAATATAAAGACATTGAGAAATCAAATAAATAAAGGGTCGTTGGATGCTGTTTACAAATTACCTTCCCATACGGCTGACTCCTAAATATTAACTAGAAGACTGGATAAGTTTAGAGGAAAATTGCCTTCGTCACCTTCATGGCTTTAGTTCAGAAAACAACAGTAGTGACAATGACCTTGAACTCTTGTGGAATTTTCATATTAATGTGCAAGTATATCATCGTTGTGAAATGAATATCTTTTGGTATCATTGAAATAATAAACAATGTTAGGAAAATTTAGAAAAATAAATTTCAGAGACCAGCTCATTAGAAAGTGCTTATGATTGTCACAGAAGCCTGCGATGGAAATAAATCCACTCACTTGTTAAAACCTAAGGCCAGTTCTTAAATAAAGCAACATGATTTACTGATTAGAGTTCTACTGAACTACTGCTTCCGTGTTCTGAAGCCTTAACTAGCACAGTACAAATACAAGAGGTCTGAGTCAAAAATTATCTTAAAATAATCTATGTATAATCCTCAGCACCCATCTGTGGTAAAACCATTATCTAGATGATCTAAATGAACAAGCATTCACACATTTAATTACTTTTATGATTATGGTACCTAGATGGACGTTTCTTTTCCTTATTGGGAATAAACCTACTTAAGTAACCCATACAATGTAGTGGATTGATCACAGCTCATAGGCTGTAAGAATGATCAGGGCATGATAGAGGGTTATGAATTGTAATGCGAAGAGCAACCTAGTCGTTTTCATTTGAGGCAGTTTATCGATAGTTAAAAAAGGCTTCAATGATTAACTCAAATGTGTCTTTTTTCAATGTCAGTACAAGTGCTGACATTCAATTATGATCGACTCTTCTAAGTGTAAATAATTGCACAAATCGCTTTATACCTATGGTTAATGATAACTAAATGATGTAAAAATAAAGAATTATCAAAAGACCCTTGAGAACACAGTTCTGCTTGGAGGGTTCCACGGAGGAAGTGCCTCGTTTTCAAGAAAGGAATTCCGTTTCTTCTGCTTTCGTTCAACTCTTTCCTTCCTTTCTTTCTTTTCCTAAAGATAAAACAGAGAGTCACACGTTTATGTACATATATGAGCATTATTTCCAAATTAAGTCACTTGCTGAATAACAAAACAGTCAGATATTCAAATATTATTTCCTAGCTTTGTGGATTATAAAGGAAGAGCAGCCGGGGAATATTGCTAATTTATAAGTATTTTGCTAACAAGCATTAATATACACTTACGCCTTTCATACTAAGAATGTTTAAAAATTATGTGAAATAGGGAAAAGAGATCCATAATTCCATAACTGAAAAGAATAATTATTAGAATTCAGTGATGACTTTTGAGAGCAGAGACACTAAGACTGTGCAGTTGAAAAATTTTCCTTTATTACTGAGCTTGAGCACATTTTCCTTTTTCAGTCTTTTTTTGGTGAATTTTCTGGTTATTTGGCTCATCTAACTGCATAGGTATTGATGCTGTCACATTTTTGAGCAATTTGAATACTTCCATGTATTTATTACCTTTGCTGCAAACATTTGATCTATATTACATTTTTTAGTGGTTAGTTTTTACAAGAAAAGTATTAGGAGACATTTCAGACTACAGCTTAAAGAATAATATAACCAAAACCTGTGCCCCGTTATCTGCTTATGAAATAAGAAGGCAGGGCGTCTCAGAGCCCCCTACTACTCCGTCCTTCCCTGCACCCCACCCAGGAAGCTGCCTCTGAATTTGATGCACATTTCAGTGCACTGCCTAGTACTTCTGTTGCTTATGCATGTACCCCTAAACCACAAGTTATTTGGTTTTGCAGATTTTTAGAAATCATATAAAAAAAAAAAAGTATCATGCTGTCATCTTTCACAGCTTCCTTCTTAAAATTCGTATTTTGCAGTTCCCTGTATTGAGCGCTAGCTCGGGTTCAGAATCCCGGCACATAAGCAAACCATGATTTGTAATTCTTTTTATTGAAGACATGATGGCTTCATTTCCTTTCTATCAAAGACAACTGTGCTCCAGATACAGACGATCCCTTATGCGCCTGAACCAAGACCTCTTCTCCATGTCGAGACCCAGAAGCACAGTCACTGAGCATAGGCTGTGTGGTTGCTGGGCTAACTAGACAATTATTCTCCAAAGAGCAGTAAGAATATTCCCTGCAGTAAGCACTATACTAACTTTCATGTACTAATGGCTTCAATTTGGTCTAATTTTCTTTATAATTTCCTATGTACTTTAAGGTTTAGAAGAACCGGTAATTCTCATGAGACTTGCTAAATAATAAATTTTCTTTCAGTTCTTCTATTGGTTGGCACATTTCACACTTTGGAATTCCTATGACCATAAGGGAATTCTTTGAAGTGATTTTTACCTAAGTGTTATAGAAACACTCTCATCTGTATCCATTGATTTGTGTGGCTTTATTGCATGGTAAGTTCTTTCATGTGTCAGGCTCTGAGGATCTTTTATTCTCCTGGGACTGCACTGCTTTGCTTTGTGTTAATGCATCCGATGGTGGGCACTGAGCTCCTTCTCTGGGCTGAGCCGGGCACTGGGCAGCCTGCACAAGCAATTGTAAAACCCAAACACATCGAGCACTGCCCCTCAGGAAACCTTCAAAACGAACTGCTCATAACAAGTAAACAACAAATGGTGTGACTTTCTATGTTTTTATGAAACATAAACATAAACTGTGGTGAATGAAAAAGAATGACAGGGAGAACTATTTTGCAAAGGAAAGTGGAGCGAAGGAAAGTCACTTCAGATAGAGGATGGTCGGAGAAGCTGCTGCTGACTTGCAAGGGGGAGCAGAGGGAGCTTCTGGCAGGACAGTCTGTGATGGGAATTAGCCCGGTTTAAAGAACACGTATTCACAGGCATGGGCTGGTAGATTTATATTTTATTTTTTGATGTGACTGGTTCTACTTCATCTTATTTGGGGAACAGTCTCTTCCATATTCTCACATTTTTATCATAACATAGATTTTACAATTATTTTGTTCCTCTGCACGAACTCCCTTCACAGAGATGGCAAAGGGTCTGAGGATGAATAGAAGTCTAAGCGGTAATCTCTGGATACTTGATGATTTAGTAGCGCTTGACCGTTCCATCCTGCAGTTTGGATTGTCTCCCAGGTCTTTCAGGCTTGCTAAGTCTGGTGCTTTCCTCATACTGGTGACTTCCTCACAGAGCAGAGGTACTAGATGCTTGGACAGCACTGTCACCACAGTCTGGATGGCTTGGGAGGGACACATTTTGTTAAGCCATTAGATGCCCAGGCCTCTTTATCAGGACATCTGTGGGGTGGGTCAGGGTGCCACGGATGACATGGTAATGGACAGTTTCCATTAGCATGCAGTGACTCACATATGACAAAGCAGGGAAGAGATGCATGACAGTATTTCTCATTTTAACATCCAGCTCCATGATACTAGGATGTTTGCACATTTGCTACTCCGATTAAAGCAGGAGCCTAATTTCAAAATCCTACTTGAGAAAAGCTGTCATTGAATCTGTCACTTGTTTTAGTATTTGAAAGCAGGCAGAGCAGACAGCCAGGCTGAGGTAAGGTAGTGACTGGACTGTGTCCATCAAAGCTAACTGAACAACCCTCTTTTGTCCATTAATTTAACATAGAGAGAGTCTTAAACTCATCTAATCTTACTGGCAGGGTGCTACAAAGCCAGGAGAGCAATTAATTTTCAACCTTTCTATCAATTAACATGCATCATTGTCATTTTAATTAATAATTAGCAGAAGCTTGCGAAGCACTTCTGTTGTCTGCTGAAGACAGAATCTTTTGCTCATTTTTCTTATTAAAGATAACTACAAATTAATCTGGGAAGGAGCATGAAGAAGACATTCTAACCTGATCTTTGGCTACACATTTACTCTAACATAATTATCCATCAGATGTTCATGACCTAAGCCAGAATGAATATCAAAATTTTGAAATGTAACACTACTTCTGTATAGGGAAGTTTTTTTTCATTCTGTTTGCAAAGAAATTTCAGTAAGAAACTGGTAATATGGGGAGGAGGTCCATAACATCTTGTATATGGTGCTTTTATAAACAGCACTGTATTTGTGACAAAATGCAATATTAAAACAAAAGGACCTGTGAGTTAGTCATTTAGAAAATTCTATCTTAATTTCAAGAGAATGTGAAGATCAAATAGAAAACCGAGATGTAGGAATTACTCTAAATAATACTAGCACAGTCAAGAGAAGTCCTCATAACAGAAGGAGACCTTTAATTTTTCTCAGTACAATAGTACTTGAGAGTTTACTCCAAGGAAATTACAACAAAATGCTCCTACCTTCCTCACTCAAACCACTGAGCAAATTTTGTCATCTTATTTTCTTACTATTACTTTGTGTGGACCTAGGAGATAGCAGTACTAGAATCAACAAACAACAATGAATTCTGTTGGTATTTTTATTAGGGTTGCATTTAAATTGCAATTAATTCAGGAAAGTTAACATTTTTATAACATCAGCATAAGATTGGGTGATTCTATCCAAGAGCAATAGTGTTCCATGTTCTCGAGTCTTCATTAGTATCCTTCAGGAATGCTCTAAAGTTTTCTTCATATTGGTCTTGCACATTTCTTAAGTTTATTCCTAAATGTCTTACTTTTTTCAAATACTATCTTTGAAATAGTCTTCTTTGGGTATCATTTGTCTCTCTCTAGCTACTTTCGATTGTAGACATTATGTGAATAAATGAATAATAGTCAGAAATATGTTAGAAGGACTGCAGGAGGAGACTAACCTCAGCAGATACAAAGCCGTGGCAGGGAACAGGGTGGTAATGGAACATGCATAGTGATGCTGACCAATGAGGCAGAGACTCAAGAAAGAGACCCCAAAAGTGAGGAATGCATAAATAAAAGCAGTACTTCAAATCAGCAGGTGAAGGTCAGCTATCTTATAAATGACACACCTGGAAAAAATATGACTTGGAGTCTTAGTTCTCACTATACATCAAGATAAATAATGTAGATCAAATGTGAAGACACTGAAATCACAAAGCTATTAGAAGAAAAGTAGGAGTGTTTTGTTTAACCTCAAATTATGGAGAAGGCATTTTCAACTATAACTGAAAATTAGAAGCCAGAAGAAAAGATTGATAAATTTGACACCTCAAACTAAAATTAGATTCTTGTTGGCATAAAATCCTGTAAGAAAAGTTGAAAGGCTACCCATATAATGGGAAATATATTTAAACCATATCAAGAATGATAGGCTAATATTCAGAGTACATGAAAGCAAGTGTTATTTTAAATTAGTAAAGGACCATAGAGAAATGTACAGTACAACATCTATGAATTGGTGCTTTAGATGAAAAAAAAAAAAAAAATACAAGTGGCTCCCAGACACATGAAAAGATGCCCAGGCTCAGTCTCAGCCAGAGAAACATAACTACAAGACTTCCGGATTGCATTTTCTACTATAGCAGGGGGACGAGTCCAAATAGAGTCTAATAAGAAACCATGAGCCCAGCAGAAACTTACACGTTGGATGGTTGAGTCATGTGCCTTTGTTAACATCCCTGGGACATGTCACCTACTCACAGAAAGCACCTATAGACATGCAGGCATTGCTTATTCAAAAGTTAACAAAACACATTTACTTTGACTGTACAATAGACGATGTTAAAAAACACCTAAACAAGACTGTCTCCTGGGGGGTCATCGGAAAGATTAAGAGACATGAAAATGCATAAACTTTCTCACCATTAACTTCAATGTTATTGTGAGTTGTAAAATAACCTGACTGCCATCAGTAACACAGCTGTCAGCTTTCTGTGGCAGTTTTAGATAACTGCCATGGGAGACAGGCACTGCAGGCAGTGACTACCTGTGAGCACGCGTGTCAGGGAGAACATCGCGACTCGAGTGTTAAGCCTGAGTGTTGTAGGGTCATTCACAGAAATGAGTAAATCAAAGCATCTAAAGTGTACATGGGAACGAAATGATTCAACAAGGTAGCTTCCAGGTGGAAACAGGACAAAGGGAAGGTAAATTAGAGATAGAAAAGTCACCCAAAAATGCACTAGAAAGACACAAGTGCATTCATTAGCAAACAATACCTACCAGCCATTTTTCATATTCGTCAATAGCTTGTTTATCTTTATCTTTTTTCTCAGCTCTTTTTAGTTCTTCCTTTCTTTTCTCATTTATTTTCTCTTTTTCCTTTTCCTTGAAGAAGGCTTCCTTTTTCTCATTCCTATGTAAGATAATATAAAAGACTGGAAAGTTAAAGGGGAATAGAGAGTAGAGCTTTCCTAATAGACCTTTGCAATAATGAGACTGAGATGCATTAGTAAATTACAAGTAAATAAATTTTATAAAAGTTAGTGATGTTCATTTAAAATCTACCACAACTGGTGTAGTTCTGGGTTACCATTTCTCAACAGCAGTTAAATTATCTTTCCTTTTCTCAGCAACAGTTTCTTCCTCTTTCTGTTTCTTTGCTCTTTCATATTCTCTCTCCTTTTTATTTTTCTCTTTAAGATATTCCATCTTTTTCTCTTTCCATTTTTCAAAAGCCTGGAGAAGTTCAGAATGAATTTGTTTAATGGGAATATCCTAAAAGAAGCGAACGTACACTAATTGGTAATTCTGAAGCCAAATGTTAAGTAATAGTTGGGAAAGACCAGCCAAGACACACCTGGAGCGCCTCTCCTCTCCGAGCGGCATTTTCTTCCTCAGTTTTCTTCTTGTTTTTTTCCTCAAGCCTTTTTTGGGCAGCTATTTTCTTTGCTTCCTTTTCTTTCATAGCCTTCCAAGCCTCAAATGATGCTAATGCTTCTTCTCTCTTAGCAGCTCTTTTCTATTTTGGAGAAACAGTAGTTTTGTAAGTCTACATAAACAGGCAAATATAGGTAGCTACAAATATGTACACATACATCTTTCATTCCCTTCATCACCATTTATAGCATTAAGTTTGAAAGCAGATAATATATTGACAATGCTTTAGAAAGGCTAATTGATTAAAAAGATGCTATCTGAATTATACACTGCCATTTAAAATGTTCTTTTCTAAAAGCATTTATTGGACACGTCTCTACCACTATTCAGGGGAAGGAAGTCAGTGTTTTTGAAGTGTACTGAACAAATGTCATCAAAACAAACTGTCATAACTGAGTGGTACTTTTAGATGTTCATAATAAAATATTACAGTAAAAGGAAAACAACAGGAAAGTTAACGTCAGAGTAAGCTTAAGTTGCAAGAGTGGCCAAGTCACACAAGTAAGCCCCAGACCGTTGCTTCACACCCGAGTTGTGACTGACATCAAAGTGTGAAATTCTTACTTGTAGTGAATATGTCACACAGAAGACCCAGAGGGTTGTAGCAGGTACCTTATTGCTTTACTTCAACCTTAAATCCTTAAGATTCTATATTTGCCTGCATAACTTCATAACTTTAAATGATAGAGAATCTTATTATGGTGATAACGTAGTTAGAATAAAAGCACCGAGTCAGTCACCTAGTTGTGAAGCTAAAAAGAGAAGGTGTGGGATGATCACAGTAGAACCTGCCAACCTTGCAGGGGTTGGGGGGCACACCGGCGCCCCCTGGCGGTTGCTCCTTACAGCAAGTGGCCTGGGGGTTTGGGAAACTTGGTTTTAAACAAGCACAATGAAAGTAATGTTTTCAAGGGTTTTTATTGAAAATGAAAAAGCACTGGGCATGTTGTCATCTGTTATCATCTAAAAGTAGGAGCTGGAGGAGGAAGGCAGGGGATCCAAATAAGGAAAAAAAAAATTATTATAATAAAGTAAAGACCAAATCAACAGGCAACTTTAAACCAGAGACTCTGCAGGCGGGGAGGAGGGAGTAGGATCTAAATAGGGGAGGGAAGAGCCCAAGGGACTATGGGGATGGTGCAGGGGTGACTAAGTGCTGGGAATTTCACAGGGACTACACCCAAGGTGATAGTGCACACATTGCATAAAAATGAAGAATGAAGGGGAAAAGAAAGGAGTTGGGGGGTAGAGACTGAACAATGGAGGAGCTGAAACAAGAGTCCAGCTCCTCAGCTAGAAGGATACAGTGCAAAGAGTGAAACGAAATTCAAGACCAAAGAGGGAAACAGACCTCCCTAAGCTGCAAGACTGAAGCCAGATTTTAGAGCGACGGCGGTAATAGTCACACGCAGCTCCTAAGTAGTGGTACCTACTTAATAGTACCAGCCATAACACACAAAAAGCCATGTTTTTATGTAAAATAGTTTGATTTACTACATACTAAAAATGTATAAGGTACCAGAGAAATAAAACAAATCAGAAATCAAATCACTTACAGACAAGATAGGTTGTTATTTTAAAAAGCAGTTGATTTAGAAATGTTAAATATTCAGGGATAGTTTACTGACAAAAATCTAGACTGTTTTTCACTTTGATGCTTCAGAATACCTGTTCAGTTTGGATCCTTAAATTTTCACTTTCAATCCTTTTAATTCTGTGCATTTCATGTAAATACACATTTTTCTTTTCTAGCCACTCCTGTGAGAAACATAAGTAGATGATAGTTAAAGTTTCCCAAAAGACTTAGAATTCTTGTTAGTGAAATAGGTGACTAGAAACTAAAATATCAAAAAAAGGTAACTTATAAATTCCACATGAATTGATATCATTTTTCTTTTTCTGAAAATAGTCTGATAAATTGTAATGACAGCTATATATGTTAGTGTTCTTTGAAATTCACATGCCAGGCCCTCCCTGGTGGCGCAGGGAATTGAGGCACAGCACTGAGAAGCTAAAGCCACTTCAGCATGAGTTCGATTCCCGCCTGCCCCGGAGGTGACCACATGGCGCGGCAGACCTCACCTGGCCTGCCCGCTGCTCCCCTCAGCAGTGTGCTTCATAGATCTGCCTGTTCTGCTCCCCGCTCTGTCTCTGGTGAAGCCTCTCGCCACACCTGGGCCTCTGGCCTATACCCCAGTTCTGTATGCACAAATAAATAAATCTTATTAAAAAAAAAAAAGAAATTCACATGTCTAATTTTCTAAAATGTACTCAGTCTGTACAACAAATAAGAAAAATTAGAGTTGTGGAAAAAGTTAGAAAAATCTTTTTCTGTATAAGCCTAATTCAAACTTAAAGTCTCAGGGAAGATAAAATTTTAAAACTCTCTGTTCATAACAGTATAAACTTAAAAAAATATAAATGTCGAGATAACATTTTTACTTTGTATGTTTTTATAAACTGCCATGGTATATTTTATTTCTTTTATTTTAAAAAAGATTTTATTTATTTTATTTTTGGTAGAAGAACTGGGGTGTAGGCCAGAAGTGCCGTCGGGGTTGAGAGGATTTACCAGAGACAGAGTGGCACCATGTGGGTCAGCTCCCTGGGTGGGCATGAAACTCAGGCCACCGAGGAGGGCCGGTGTGGTGGTAGAACTGAGACTTAACCCCTAGGCCACCAGGGAGACCCAGTATTTTATTTCCTTAAACACAATTATGATTAGTTAAGCAATATATAGAAGGAAATGATTCAATAGAGAAAGCCTTTGATTGCTCATATATTACAAAGGAACATCATTTCCAATTAACTGAAGTATTAAAGTATTAAATCATTTCTGACCAGATCATTTTATTCCCTGACAAACTGGTAACCTTATATATGAGATTTATTTTCCTAATTTTTAAAAATGTTTTTACCTGGTAAACAGCTGCCCTGATGCTGTCTGCTTTGTCGGGTTCTGTGCTCTGCTTCCGTGAGGGTTTTTGGTCCAAAACTTTCAAAGTCCCTAAGTAGTGAGAAGAGGTAGTTGCCGAGGAAATTCTCCTTACAGGTTTCTTTAAAAACTCAGAGGACATTAATCTGAAAAGACCCAAAGAAATCTGGGTGAAATATTACAACTGTACTTATTAGAGCAAAGATCCATGAGAATTTGCAACTCAGTATTTGAAAATAACATATAACTTAATAGTTAATTTGGAAAAATATGTAGTCATAGGTCACAAAGAGCCCCATTCAACGTAATTTAAAATTTAAAACTAAGTTTTATAGCTTCAGAGAGGTTTCTCTTTTTAGGTGCTTGTAGTTAGGATATTTTTAAGAAATATGAACTGTTTTAATTCTTTCTTGTATCATATTGTTATAAAAAACAGTCTAAACATAAAGAAAGAACAGTGTCATTCCTTCCCGTGGCTGGAGGGGAAATCTGATGTACCATCTGTTTTTGATAAATAAAAGTTTATGGTGCTGAAGTCAGATTCACTCATTTACATATTGCCCTGCTCCTGTCTCGCCCCTATAGCAAAACTGAATTATTACAGCAACAGAGAACGCAGCTGACACAATGTTCTCACGGGCAATTTACAGAAAAAGTTTGCTGACCCCTGTTCTGTCTCCTGATCACTTGGCTGATGATAATTTAAAAGATTCAGAAGCTTTTGATAAATATTTATGGATCAGACATTCATTATCATCACAGTTGCAATGATTATATAGATTCTTATTTTAAAAAAACAGCTTAGTCCACAGGACCTCAAGACTTTAAGCACAAATTTTTACGTGTTAGAAAATGACATGTAATAGAAAGGTCGCTGCTGGGCGACAGCTTTCTGTCAGGTGTCTCAGATAAAACAGGAGGAGGAGGCACTACCCTTGGAGCAAGGCAGAGCATGAAGAATCCCTAATCAATCATTTTTTTTTATAAGAATTCAATCAGCAGATCAACTCTTCTAATGCATCTCAGGAGACAGAGATGGAGAGAATATCAAGTAACACAAATTAAATTTACTTTAAGGACATTCAGTTAGGACTGGCTTTGTTGGAATGTGAACCCCATAAACGAGAGATCCTGATAACTTTATTACCTGCCAGATGCACTGGATGCTCTATTATTTGTTGACTTTTTATTCTTCATATTTCTATCTTCAATTGTTTTCTATTAAATAGAGAAAGCCATAAATAGGTTACTCCCTATAATGACCCCAGTGAGACTTAAGAGGCAAAACTGATAGTAAACTATGTTTAAGCATCTAGTAGTCACTGGGAACAAAGAAGAGAAGACCTTTAAGGGCACCGTTTTAGAGAGGCGATGACCAGAAGTACTACACCCACAAACAAATGTGCCTCAGGAAGGAGATCAACAAGGGTGCAGTGACAGAGGGGGAGGGCCCAGGGTCCAAGCGCACCTCAGAGAAGGCGCTGGGGAGAGGCCCTGACATGGAGCAAGAGAATGAGAAGCGGCACGTGGCCACATGAAGGTCGCTGGAATCAATAAAACAGAAAGCACTGAGAGCCTGAAAGGGGAGGAGCTTGGTAATTACGAGAAAAGGAAAAAGATGATGAACGACGCCGAGGCATAGTGGAGGGTGGAGAGAGGGAAGGATGATGTGGCGTGGGAAGAGTCATGTGAGATCTTTTGGAAGAAGAAAAAAACCTGTTTTCCTTTTGATTCCAACAGAGACTTTAGCAGAGGAATGATTAGATTCATATTTAAGAAAGATTATACAGCACAGAATTAAAAGTCAAATTTCTCTGTTGTCACTTAGAATCACCTCTGTTAGACATTAATATTCTATGTTATAAGATTCCTGCTCAACCAGTTTTCAGCTAGAACTGTTGTCTTCTCCTGTAATGAATACATGTAGCCTCCAGCTAATTGACATCAAAAGCGATAGAGACTGCATTCAGGAGAAAGAAAAATTAAAAATACTATACCAAAATTAAAAAAAAAAAAGTATAGTATTCTGCTGCAATTTAGTGTAGAGACAAGTAACTCCATACACCACAAATTTGGTTCTCAAGGTCAGAAGCCTGTCCATCCCTTTAAACAAGCATGGATGTTGATAAATGTTTCTTGAAGATTATCATTAAAATTTTTAAACCTTTGAAAATGATAGCCACTAACTGTTTCAGATAGCCACAGTTTTAACCATGAAGACCTATACATACATAACAGAAATGGGAATGTATTTCTGAGATATTTAAAAGTATACTGAGATCCATTTGATGGTGGTAAAAGGCAGCAGAACTAAGGTGGTAGGTGTGAGCTTTGTTCCTGAAGCTGAGACTGTCTTGTAAACAGACAGTCTTGTAAACCAGTGTTAAATCAATATTTATTTGATTTATTAGAAAAAAAAATACGGTAATTTAAACTTCTCATAATTGCTAATGAAAAATAGTGTTTGATTATATTCCCTGCAAACCTTCCCTGAGCTTAACAGTCTACTGAATTAAATAAGAATTGCTTGATACAAGCATATCACTATTAAAAAAATAAGCTTTCCACAGATGGCTCAGCAGTCTCTAATATAGAAGTTAAAATACTTCAGTTTTAGTTCAAGTTTTAAGCATGATTTGATAACTCACCTTGGTGGGTTCCGCTGCACTGTTCGAGGGTGAGACGCTCTGAGACTGCACTACCGGCCCATCAACAGCTAAGTCATTCACATTCACTTCAGTCTTCTCTCTTTCTTCTTCAAGGTCATCAACAGTCACTTGACTTTCACTGGATTTCTCAAGTGCAATAGTAACATCGTCTAGCAAGGATGAATTCTCTTCATTTTCACTTGATTTCAAGGAATTTTGGGTTTCAGCGAATTCTTCATTCTGATCTATTTTGAGACACAATTACAGCATTAACCACACACCCTACCCTTTCTGAATTAAGGGTTTATTAGCTTACACTAAACTAAAGGAGGACTATCTATAATCCTTGTTTCTTACAAAGTAAAATATGAAAACTATCATATATAAATTGGTAAAACCTCTAAAGTGATCTATAAAAGAATAGAGCAGCTCAGTCTACTAGCATTTGACATACTGAACACTGACCCATTTTGTTAATAAATCAGATGAGTAACTGCCCTACATCAAGGACACAGAAAACATGTTGAGTGGACCCTGGTGGGGCAGCACCTTCTCCCTTCTGAGCCCGTGTTTCTGTGCTGCTGAACTTACTAGAAGTACAGCTGTCGTGTGGCAGCGATCAGCAAAAACCCAGAATTCACGTACGCTGGGCAGGGCCATCACGCAGAAGAGTCAGCCCCGTTTTCTCTCTGCTAAGAGCCAGTGCTGACATGAGGGCGTAGAGGTGAGGGTTTACAGTTCACAGTTAAACATTCACATCTGACAGGGCCTCACAACCCCAATTTTCTTGGGATTCTTTAGCGTGGCCATGAGAAGAACATGGACTTTGGGGCCACAGATTCAAATACGTCTCCACCTCGACCCTCGGAGTGCTTCCCAATATCACCAGGCTAGGTTTTCTCATCTGTGCAGTGACAAAAATTATATGATGAAGCAAGCACTTAATAAACGTGAGTGACCCACCCCAGTCCAGGAGACAGCCATGCCTTTTAGCCCTCGTTAAGCTACCTATCAGAGAACCAAGGAATGAAACAACTTTCCGGACACGCATCTCACATGACTATGCGTTTACTATGGCTCCCAACGTGTACACATCATGGTGCCTGGCATCCTTAAGTCATTTAATTCTCACCACCCCATGAAGTCATTTACTGTTATTACCTCTATTTTAAATATCAGCATACAGACCCAGAGAGGTTGCTTAATTTGTTTATGTAGTGGTACCTGGATTCAATTCCAGCTTAGTCTCACTTTAAAAGTGCATCTAAAATTTATGTTGCAGATACAGAAAGTCCTCAAATAGTGTAGTTTTGTTCAATGTGTTTCATCATCACATTGATGAGAAGAAAGAATCCTGGCCCACACTGAGATGACGTTATCTGAGGACCTGGGTTTGCTAAACATTGTTCTGCTTAAAGCTGCAAGAACCTTTTCAAGATGTTAAGAGGACTCTGCAGACATCGGGGCAGCACACGCATTGCAAGGTTACCATAGTGATCACTCTACTTGCGCTTGGAATGGGCTAGAAATGAAAACACATAGTATCACTTGATTTTCACACCAGCCTAGTGAGATCAGGTCTCATTAAAATTGGGGGAAAATGAGACACTGAAAGATTAAGCGAAACCATGAATCTGAAATTGCAGGGTCAATGAACTGTATAGTAATTATATATTAAATTAAAACTCAGGCAAATGCACATGTATATTGATCTTGTAACTATGTAAAATGCCCATTCTATAACAAATGATTCCTAAGCAATGCAGGGTTTAAAAATAAGATACAAGAATAAGATACAGGACCTCCCTGGTGGTACAAAGGATTATCTCAGCACTATGAAGCTGTCCACAGCCTCTGCTGCACGAGTTCAGTCCCTAGTCAGGGAGGTGACCTACAAGGCACAGCAGACCTCTCCTGCCTCACCTGCTGCTCCCCTCAGCAGTGTGTTTCAGTCTATCTGTCTGTTCTCTGCTGACGAGTTCAATCCCTGGCCAGGGAGGTGACCTACAAGGCACAGCAGACCTCTCCTGCCTCACCTGCTGCTCCCCTCAGCATTGTGTTTCAGTCTATCTGTCTGTTCTGCTCCGGCACTGTCTCTGGTGAATCTTCTCATGCCTGCACCTCTGTCCTACACTCCAGCTCTTGTATGCATAAATAAGTAAAATAAATCTTAAAACAAAATACAATTACCTTGTATAGATGGTTTTTCTCCACATCCTGGTGAAAAGGAATCTTCGAGACTTTCTTTTAGAGATGATGATGATAAACTTGTTAACCGTGGACCCTGTTTTTTTTTTTTTTTAAAAGATAGTTACCATGTAAGTGTTCTCCTCTAGTAAGTCTTAAAGGGTTACATTTCATCCCATTATGTATGTTCCAAAGAATATACCATGAATATGCTGTGCACTTGACTCTGACTACTGTCCTCAACCATAAATCATAATTCAAAAATAGGAAAATATAAAAAATAAATTCTTAGGATTAAAGATATATGGAATTGCATATAATTCAAAATGGTGATTTTTTTTTTCTTTTGTATTTTACTTTCTCTGAAATTGTATGCTTCTTATACTTATTAATGTACATTGCTGAGTTGGCAGTGTTCTTCCTTCTCAGCAGTATATAAAATAACGTTATATCTTAATGATGGAGTTTTAGATTCAGTGTAAACAGTATATCATAAAAAGCCTTAACATTACTTCTCATCAGTTACTGAAGAGAATAGGGAAAACGTGTGTTCACAGCGCCAAGGTATTCTCTCCCTCCTTCTCCGCCCGGTTCCCCCATAATCAGATACAAAGGCCCGAATCCAAGCGACCATTCAGTAGGTCAGCTGTGGTGCTAACCTCAGGATCAGGATTTTCCAAGCATGTTGTTTTCTCAGCTTCTGCTTGTCCGCCATTCAGCCTTGGCGGGGGCAGAGGTGCAGGACGTGTGACTAATTCTTCCCATGCTTTACATTCTTCAGGGAGGGCAGTTTCTTTATCTTCCAGCCCATCTTTCTCCTCCCTTTGACTGTGCTTTTTCAGCAAGCTCCTTGGTCGAGGTGAGGGCTTTACGTAGTTATCCGCTTCCACACTTCTGTTTTCTGCTTAAAAATAACATGCGGTAAGGCTGATGTGGCCTTAACTATTTACACCCATGGCACTGCCATCTTCCCCCACCCCCATTCCCAGGCACCTTGGTTCTGTCTTGGAGAAGAAGCCCAGGTCCTGTTCTTCACAGAGCTCCAGTGAGACACAAATAAACCATATTCATAATCACAGTTTAAAAAGAACTGTTTTTCTGGACATGACTTCAATACTCTGGTTTCACAAGCCTAACTTTATGATCTCGTCTAAGTATTCAGAAAACTTAAACACACACACACACATATAACAAAACCAAGCCAGTTGCTGTATCTGCTCCCAGCCCCTCTGCACAAGGCCCGACAGTCGGAGAGTGACAATGACCCTGCCAAGGACTTTACTGTGTAGGAAGAAGAGGACGTAAACCAAGAAGACTCATACACGCCCTAAAGGTGAACGCTGTCGGAGTGTGAAGATGGCGTCCCTGCGGTCAGTGCTAGCTGACCAGAGCAAGGGGTGAAGAGCTAGAGGATTCCGTAGTTACTATTCTTGAGTCTGTAAAACTTCTCCAGGAGTTACTCAAATTCCCCCGTCCCTACTTCCATTACTCCAAAGTTTAAAACAAAAGCATACTGCTACTTATACTTCAAGCCCCTAAAACATTGCGTGCAAGTTTCATCCATAAGCTTTTAAGCGACTTTATGTTAGACATGCTCATTTCTCCTTTGTTCTACTAATGCCGTCTTCTGTTACATTTCCAAAACTGGACTAGTGCTGAATGCTGCTAGAATATTCCACAACCATACCTAACTGATATCTCTAGGAACACTTCATTGCCAGTTGTGCGAGACCCTAAACTTTGACCCAATACTCAACCCAAAATCCAGTACTCACCTGGGGTCTGCCTCTGTTCCCCTTTGTCAACTCCTGAACTCCTCATTCACTCTTTGCTAGATTACCCTCAGGGATATTTATAGTCAGATCACCTGGCTGTTTTCCACACATTTCTTCTATGGCTCCCCATCACACCATCCTGTAGCATAGATACTGCCTTGCCTTGGAACAGACAAGTTTTTCCTGGTCTTGTTCTTGCCTACCTGTTCTGCCCGTGGGGGGACCCCCAAGCCCCGCCCGCCTTCCTGAGAGTTTGGCCTGACAATAGCTCGGCAGCTCTTTCCCCTCCTGCTACCATACTTTACCCAAGCTGATCCCTCTGCCTAGAATGTCCGCTTCCTGCTTCTCCTCCTGACAAATGACTGCTTTCGGGCCTCAGTTTAAGCAGAATATTGTATAATGCCTGAAAGAAGGTGTGAAGTCAAATTTTTTAATGGTGAAGAGGACATGTAACAAGAGGTCTACTTCTTAACAAATTAAGTGCACAAATGTCATTGATTAGCTATAGGTACAGCAGATTCTAGAACTTATTCATTGTACAACAGTATTTTTATACCTGTTGAGTTAGGGTTTCCCATCTCCTCTACCCCTGGCAACCCCCATACTGCTGTTTCTTGAATTTGATAATTTTAGGTATCTCCTATTTGAATTGTGGCTTGAATACTTCTCTGTATTGTGACCTTATATAAATCTTTTGTCCGCATACTTTGGTTTTACATTGGTAAATGGGAAATAGTGGTAAATAGTGAGTAATTCTTTTTTTTTTTACATATTTTTTAAATACTTATTTATGCAGACCGAACTGGGGTACAGGCCAGAGGTGCAGGGGTGGGAAGAGGATTTAGCAGAGATACAGTGAGGGGCAGAACAGGCCAAGTGGCGAAGTACACTGCTGAGGGGAGCAGTGGGCGGGTCAGAAGAGGTCTGCCGCACCATGTGGGTCACCTCCGGAGCGGGGATGGAACTCATACTGAGGTGGCTTTAACCTCTCAGTGCTGTGCTTTAACCCGCTGCGCCACCAGGGAGGGCCACAGTGAGTATTTCTTAAGAGGCCAGTGGGACTTAATTTAGACCATATGAGGTGCCCAGCACAGGGCCTGACATATGGCAAGCACCCCATGAGCATGAAAAATTAGGATAAACATTTCATTTTTTGAGTTTTCCTATCACTCTTTTTTTTGGGGTAGTTTCTCCTCTGCCCTATCATGCAAGTCGGGTAGATCAATAATTTTCTTCCCCATACTTAGAAAGAAGAGTGAGCAGAAACTTCCCATAGCTCTCCACCGCCAGCTGATCACAGAAACTTCATTTCTGCTGTCCAAGAGGCCAGTATTTTTCTCTATGGAGTTGGAGGATGTACCTCTAACATGAGGCCTGATGGACGCAGTTAGACTGCCACCGTCTTGCTCCCCTGCCAAGGAAAGGCCTCTCGGAGACACAGACAGAAAGACAGGACAAGGGATGGCGTGACCAGGGGGGCGGTGGGCAGGAGGTGATTGAGGGGGCAGGGAGGGAGGGCAGACGAGAAGATATGAGAGAATCCAGATGACTGAAAAGTCCTGGGTCTATAAATTTAACCAGCCCTTTAGCAAGGCCTGCTGACATCCTCTTCCCATTGAAAGGTGTTTGAGCTGTGTCATTTGAACCAAAGGTCCTGACAACAGCTACTATTACTGTCCTGGTTATTGCTACCAGTGGCATCTCCTTTAGGAGGGCTTCTCTGGTCCCTAAGGGGTCAGGGTAACTGTAGGTGCCCACTTTTTCTGTGATTTTTGCTGCTCCTTTTATATACTGAGCCACTAACTTGTAAGGTTTTTGCTATGGTCTGGAGACTTGTGTCTTTCAAAGCTTATGTTGAAAGTCTAATCTCAGAGGCGATGGAATTAGAAGGAAGGGTCATTAGATTGTGGAAACCTTGGTTCATGAATGGGATTAGTGATTTTATAAAAGAGAAGCTCCAGGAAGTGCCTGGAGTTCCTGGCCCCTTGGGACATGGGAAGAAACAAGGGGGTGGAGGACTGTTCACTGTAGCCTCCCAGGACTTCAGTATTCGGAACTTCTAGAAATAGATTCCTGTTGTTTATGGAGCCACCTGTTCAGTGGTATTTTGTTACAGCCTTGGAGGGCACAGGCCTTTCTACTGTCATGATCTTAGGTACCACTGTTGTGATTGAAAGTATCAAACATATTGTATTTGTAATAAATGTGTGGATAAAATGATTTGCTTCCTACTACCCTGGGGAGTTGTATTTTAGCAAATGAAATTTTCATCATTCCTCATGCTTACATTTTTTTCAGAATTTTATAGTTAGTGACATACTTCAGTGTATCCTCACCACAAATATCTCCAACAAATGCTAAATAGTAAAGTCAATAATAAAAAATTTGTAGAACACTTAAATTAACGCAAGATTGCTCTAAGCACTTCAATGTATGTACTCACTTAATTGCCTCAAATCCCTATTGGGGGGTTTTACCATTATCCCTGTGTTTACAGATGAATAAAAATAAGAACAAAGAGATCTTAATCTTAAACCCATCTTGACAAACTAGTATTTAGGATAAAGCAGGAACAGCCTGACTCCAGGGTTCATAACGTGAATTAAAAATAAAATGTTAAAATACATGTCAAAATAAAACGAAATGTTAAGTAAAATGTTAATATAAAACATGTTAAAATGAAAACAACATGTTCCATAAACATTATGTTCTAAAATCACTAGTCCATGGCTCAGTAAGGTCAGGCTTATTACTGTACTTTTCACAAAGACAAGCAGGAACAAAATGTTCAGTTTCTGATATTTTTATATAATGTAGATTTCTATTTAGCAACAGGAGATCCCCTTGAAAAAATTAAGTTCCAAATCCTAAAAAAAAAATTACATCTAAAAACGTAGAGGATAAAGTGAAGTTCAAGAACTATATTCCTTCTCTTGTGAATGAATTATTCATTCATTGATATATACAAATATTTAGTAAGTTTTATATGCCAAGCATTATCTTAGGATCACTAGTATTTTTCAATACTAGTGAAGAACCTATATGTAGGTTCTTTGATATATTTTCTAGCAAAATCTTACTCCTAGAAGTAATTGCCTAATTTTCAGAAAGAAAAAAGTATTTTGAAATGCTTTGTATTATAATCTTGATGGAAAGGATTACCTATTTTAGCAGTTTTGTCATTATTTATATTAAATTGCAAATGGCCAATGATTGAAAATATAATATTGCATATTCAGTGTATAGCATTTAGAAATCTGGTGCCATCTTGTGGTTAAAACAGCATCTTCTCTATTCAGATTTTATCAATAACTTGTCACAGGTTTCCAAAAAAGGTACTCTCAGTAAAGGTCTGACTATCTACTAATAGCTATATCAGACCAATGTGCTCACACTTTTCTATTAACCTAATGACAATCTTTTCAGCATCAAGGCAAACTAGAGCAAACTAATTCACAAAATGGTTTCTAAGCTCAGCTGAAACTGAGCAACACAGCACACTCTGTCCTTGCAGATTCACTGTGTATATGTCCTTATTAATGGCTCCAAAACTCTCTTTCTAAAAGAAACAGCTTACACTTTCCAGATATCTGTATTTTCCTTGCAATACCAATGAATGACCTCTGGACTGTACTTTTGGAGATGGTGAGCTCTAGCGTTAGCTATCAAGTTCAACTGTGTTCTCCTTTTCTCCATTTTTTTGTTCTATCTAGTACCCTGGGAAGACATATTTTTAGCAAGTGAATTGTTTCATCATTCCTCATGTTTACATTTCTTTTAGAATTTTACAGTTGATGACATGCTTCCATGTCTCCTCAGAACAAATCTGGAGGACAGGAAGAACAGGTTTTATCTTCTTCATGAGGGCAGGAAGGTTTCCCCTGTTTGCTGAGGTCACACACAATTAATATGCAGGGGGTTATTTTTTTCCAGTTTTCCCTGTTCTGTTCATTTGAAAGTTAATGGGACTCTGGGGTGGAGGAGGAGGGGAAGAGGAGTGGTTTCCATCATGTCTGAACCTTCTGTCTGATATTACCAGTGATCTCTAATATGCAAAGCACGGAATATTAACCACACAGTATTTACTGATGATATAAAGGAAAGAGATTGTTATTTAGGGTCCCATAAAAATGTTGTGTTTTAATGTAAACAGAAAAAGGTAGGCGCCTGGAAGACATCAAGCCTTAGCCTTCCACGCCCTGTGTGGTGGTCCAGGACCTTGGAGAGGTCAGTGTCTGCCTACTTCACCTTGGTGCCACTGCAACTGAAGCTCAGCAGAACTGGGGAGAAAACTACTGTCATCCCAGATCACACCAGGAGGCCTAACCCCCAGCAACAATGCAGCTCTCTCCCTTCCCGTTTCTGGGAAAATGGCGGCATGGGAAGAACTGACTTAAGGACAAGTTCCAATGGTGCCATCAGTCCACTCTCTGGATGTGAGGTGGATTAGAAAGTATGACATTGTAGTCTGTCCCTAAAGGCAGAGTTGAAGTTCATGGGCCATGGCAGGGCTGGGTGGAGGTACCTCGGGCACCACAGCTGTGGACTGTGCCCCCTCAGTTCACTCAGGCCCCTAGAAGAGGCGAGGCCCAAACAGAGCGCGTCAACTTCCTCTAGGTTTATATTTATAAGACTGAAAAGCTCAGTCTGATTTTTTTTCTTCAACAGTTATTACCTACCAGTTCAAGGTACATGGGGATGGATTCGTTTAAAATAATGGCTCCAAGAAATATAATTATGGTACTCTAAAAATTTACCTGAAGGTGTGCTTTTGATAGAAAGAATTCTAGGTTTAGGCTTCATTTCAAGTTTCTCCTGTTCAACTTCCTGGTTTTTACTTTGAGGTTCAGATGTGGGCTTTGCAACCATGTCTTCAAGACCACGAGGCACCAGCTCCTCATTTTTGGAGAGTAAAGGCCCATTTTTTGTTACGTCACTGTTTGATTTCTTGGTTTTCAAAAAAGACAGTTTTGGGGAACTTCTTTCTTCATCTGATATATAGAAATCATTCATTTTTTTCTTAACTGAATTTTCATCTGCTGAGGTGTCAGAAAAATCACCTAAGGAAACTGAAAAATGGAAAAGAAAAAAATATTTCCAATGGTCTGTGTTATAGTATTGAAGGTTACATCAATTACAAAGGTCACCTGAAAGACTAGAAATGCATTTAAAACTCTGAATTGACTTGGATCTATCTGGTAAGTCGAAAATTTTGCTCTAGAAAGCAGCTAATTTAGGGTTTTTAAATTGACATTTATGAAGTAAAAATTTCAGTTTTATTAATTTTCTAAAAACATATTTATCGAGCAAAACTAGTATAAGTTCTGTGTTTGCTCTGAGGGAAGTCATCTGGAGGTTCCTAAAAATAACAATCAACTCTGGGACATTAAAATTAGATTGTGGACAATAAACTTTGCAAGCAATTTCACTGAATAAAATCAAGGACTCTTGTAAATGGAAGATTTAACAAGTTATTTGGTAATTGTTTTTTCCATGAAAATTTTGGAACAACAACAACAACAACCTATCTAGATCAGATTATTAGATTTTATTATATGAAGAATCATAAAGACTGCCAGTTTAAAACTACAAAGCAATGATTTAACTACTTTTCTGATTATATTTTTATAGAGAACTTAAGAAATATTCATGGAATGCTTAAGTATAAAACAGTGGTCTTCAAATAGTATTCTTTTTTTTTAAAGATTTATTTATTTGTGCATACAGAACTGGGGTACAGGCCAGAGACTCAGTGGTGGCGAAAGACTTCACCAGAGACAGAGTAGGGAGCAGACAGGCAGATCGACACAGTACACTGCTGAGGGGAGCAGTGGGTGGGCCAGGAGAGGTCTGCCATGCCATGTGGTTACCTCTGGGCAGGGGGGAAATTGAACTCATGCAGAAGTGGTTTCAGCTTCTTAGTGCTGTACTTTAACCCGCTGCGCCACCAGGGAGGGCCACAAATAGTATTCTTTATGCTTATTCCTGAAATTTAAGGTATTAACTTCTTACAGAAATGAAAAATTAAATACCAGTACTGATATACTGGGTTTAAAATTGAACTCTTATTACAACCAGGAAATTTGGTTTATAAAAAACACTAAAAAGTGGCTGTGATATACACCAGGTTCTAGATCTAGCTTTAGGGTCCTGAAGGTTGACCTTAATGGTATATGGTCTCCAGTGGGGTTTACGACTGATACCCTTTACCAAAATCCTACTGTTGACTCATGAATATTTTCATACGTACGTTCAGAAGCAACCAACGACAATCAACCAACTTCTTAAAAGTGAAAAAGTGACTTTAGAGTTAGAAATCGAAAACCAACAAATTCATAGGTTTTAGTTTACATAAGAGATTATTTTGGACGGGCTATTAATTGGAATTAAGGAAGCAAAACAGGAGTTTACTTGTCTGTATTTTCACATACCAATCTCATCACTGTCAAAGTCATCTGAGTATTCAGAACTTCTCTGTCTGGCTGAGCGAGCTGTAATTGCTTTTATTAGCTCATCCTGAAATGAGATAATTAAAATCAATTTCCACCCAACTACAGAGGTCTCATGTTCAGAAACCATCTTTTAAACAAAGAATAACTGGTTAACAGCTGCTTACAAAGTCAGGTTTCATTCATCTAACACATATCCATGGGAAACCTATCTTAATGCCACACACCCTGGCCCTCGACCCAAGGCAGAAGATTGCAGACGAGACCCCCACCCCTATTCTCCTGAAGCTTACAAGAGAAAGACGTTACCAAGTAAATTCACCAACGAGACTCAGTATGGACAGGAGTCCCTATAAAATGGCATTAAAAAAAAAACTCAGATCTTTAGGCTCTTCTATTTCGGCATTTACCAAGCTACAGGATATTATCAGTGCTCCAGATTTAGAGGGTAAGCTTAAAATGCAGGGATGGACAAATGTAAATGACATTATATTACAACAGAGGGAAAAAAACTGAAAAAATTTTATGTGAAAATAGCAAATCAAAGTTGTGATTTCACTTGTCAAAGCTGATTTAACTTTTAACATGGTTAAAAACCTGGGCTTAAGGTGAGTCTGCTAGTCTTACCGCCACAGAGATGAGTTGTATTACTCAGCATAAACAGGATCATCCGCAAAACCTCAAAAGGAATGGAAGACTTACTCCAGCTTTACTTAGAACTGTTCCTAAAATCACTTCAAGTTAACTTTCCTCATACAGAGTCTACCACGAACACATCACTCACAATAAAAATGATTTAAAATACTTTACCTGGAAAGAAGTTCTTTTCGTGACTTTTGGACTCTTCGTATAGGCCAAAGTTGTGCTAAAAACCTCGTCAGACATAGTGTTACGGTTACTACTTTTTTATTGTTTACCTGTATAGAAGAGCTAGTAAATGATAAAGGTGATTCAACCTCTGTTGGTGGCTGAAATATACAAAACACAAATGATGTTTTTTGGCATATTTATGTATCCCTATTACAACACTTATTACCCGCCCCTCAGAAAAAGAAAAGCATCTCCTGTGAACTCTGAACTACCTCTTCACTTAAAATCTAAACAGTATTTGTAAAGAAATATCAAATGTTCACCATGAGCTTATTTTCAGGGAAAAAAGAAAAAAGAAACTTCCAACTGAAGCTCTTCTAAGATAGCTTTGCAATTATTCTTAAGCATTATGAGCAAAGGGATGAGTACAACAGGTTATTATGACAAAATGCTGCTAATTAAAATACACATCTTACTTTCTCTCTTCCATTCAGAAAGTACACCGTGCACTACAATAGTGGATTTAAGAGACAATCAAGAAGATTGAAAGAATAAAAATATCACTATGGGCATCACCAAAAAAGAAAAATGCTACAATGCTAGGGAAAGAAAGAAAAATAGCAATAATGCTCATCTACAAAGAGCAATAATTTTTCAGGTCATTCTTTCTTCTCGCAAGAGTCAATAGTCTTTGATCAAACAAAACGATGACCGGTAGCTCTGATATCACTCACAAAGAAGCCTGTAGACGCTTCCGAGCTCGCGCCGAGTCCCGGGCCGAGGCCCCCTCCTGCGGCGGAGCAGGCCAGAGGGACCCTCCCAGCCCGGCCAGGTGGCGCCCGGGCCCCGCCCAGCACCGTGCTCTCGCCAGGCCGCTGCACACCTAGCGCCATCGCGGCCCTTCCTTCGCCACCCCAATCGCGATTCTGTACTTACCTACCCCTGCTACTCCCGCGGCGGTCTCTCCACGGCCCTGAATTCTGGCGGCTGGCCACTGGGAAGACCCCAGGGCCCGGATGGTCCGGGCCTGGCAGCTCCCGACACCCGGCGTAGGGCTGAGCAAGGGGGCGGGGCTAAAGGCGGAGGTGGGAGGAGGTTGCTAGGAAACAGCGTCTTCGGGAGGAAGTGACTTCTCTACCTCTGGGACTCCCGGGTACCCAACACCGCTTTTCGGCACCAGGCGTCGCTGGGGCAACTGCCCAGATGGAGGAAGTGACGTCGACCCCCGAGTCTCGGGAGAGGTTGGCATACCCTTTGCGGGTGCTTCAGCCGTTGATTCAGAGACAGGACCCGCCCAGCTTCCACGCTGACGCCAGGAATTCAAGCTGTCAAGTGGCGGGATGGTGTTTATCTGCAGATGCTGCGCGAGCCAAAGCGCATTCCATTCATCTTTTTGCCATCTCCGACGTGCAGTTCTGTGAATTCGAATCGTGAATTCATAAAGGAGGACAGTTGTAAGATGGTGCAAGTTCAGGGCTCAAAGTGCTCATTTGAATCCTAGCTTGCCTACCTGTGCCCGTCCCAGATGGCGTGATATTGTGCAAATTAAAGTTTCTGGGCTTCAGTTTCTTTTTCTGAAAAAAAAAAAAAAAAAGGTGGGGGGACAATAATAATAATAGTTGCTTTAAAGGGTTGCTGCGACTCTTGAATGAGATAATGCAGGTAAAATACTTGCAGGAGTGTCTGGGATTGCATTCAGTCGATATTAGATACACTTTATATAATTCCTTCACAAAGGACTGGGACATAAGGGATAACTTCACTGGAGTGAAAGCCTGTTCTGCTTCTTTAAGGTGAAGTTCTGATCTTCGTATGGTTACTGTGTCCATAAAACCTAAAGCATAGTGTCTTTCTACTATTCTTTTTTCTTAAACAACAGAATATTTTTCACTTTATTAATATTTTCAGGTTGTTTCAGCATAATGTGTTCACAATATTAAATAAAACTTGAATGAGTAGTACGTTATTTAAATGCATAGTTTGCAGTAAATATATTTCTTAGTGAATTAACTTATGAGATATTGCCTTAAAAATAGAAAACATTTCAATACACAAAATCTCACTAACTTATATTACATTTTCTAGCAAACTTTTTTTTTTTTCAGTTTAATACCCTTTCATTTCTGAACAATAGCTTCACTCACTCATTTACTCATTCATTCATTCTATATCAATAACATTCTTGGTCAGACTCCCGGAGTTCAGAAGTAAACTGTATAGATTCCTGTCTATGGAAAATACAGATCAGAAGAGCCAGGAGAGTTAGCACACAATGACCCCATATTATGATTACCTGTAGAAGAACAAAGTGGGAATCTCTCAAGAGAGCAGCGAGTTCTCCCTGGCGTCCCTAGAAAGTCACAAGATGACTGAGTTGATTAAAAGTTTAGATTATAAGGAAGGATCAGAACTCTGTTATAAACAGAGGACATGGCACCCATTGCACTGTGGGATTAAGTGGGTGAACGGAGAGCCACGGTGCTGTGTTCAGAAAGTGCTCCCTGTTGGGTGACAGGGAGTGGGAAGATCCATTTCCAATTAGAAGCAAGTGAGAAGAGACATCACCTGGGCAGGCAAATCGTGCCGTACAAGCTAGGGACAAAGGATCTTGTCCTTTTGTCCATTTGAATAAAACTTGTCCAGCACTTCGAGAAGGGCACTAAAAGTGAACCTCCACGGGGGGTCAACGATAAAGACTGCGCTTACATGAAGCATTGTCAGAAGTGAAGGGGAGTGAATGCTGTGTGACTGTACATTTATCACAACTGAGGCCGACTTGTGGGGTAGAAACCACAAGAGATTTTTAAAAAATATTTATTTATTTATGTGTACAGAACTGGGGTACATGCCAGAGATGCAAGGGCGGTGAGAGGATTCACCAGGGAAAGAGTGGGGAGCAGAACAGGCAGATCGACGAAGTACACTGCTGAGGGGAGCAGTGGGCGGGTCAGGAGAGGTCTGCCGCGCCATGTGGTCACTTCTGGGACAGGCAGGAATAGAACTCATGTGGAAGTGACTTTAGCTTCTTTGTGCTGTGCTTTAACCCGCTGCGCCACCAGGGAGGGCCCCACAAGAGATTTATTAGAGGGAAATGTCAGGATTGTGAGGAAAGCCACCCACGCCCCACTAAGTACCTGGCTGAAAGCGCTTATCAGCTTTTTATGAGGGAGGAGAACTGGCACTGGCCTAGCAGTCGAGCACCCCACCCCATAAAGTATTTATTTCCCTGCGTGGTCCCACCTTTCGTCTGTCCTGGAACTGCTCTCACCTTCTTGCTTTGTGTTCCTTTTTCTTTAAGACAAATCTGGTCTCAGACTTGAAAAAGAAAATAAACATGTATTTGTTTTTACATTTTATGATTTTGTATGTGTGTGTGTGTGAACAAAATGTTGGAAAAACGAAAAAAAAATAGCTGGTAAACTATGAAAAATGTGATGTTATCCTAGGGGAAAGAAAGGGGTTCAGTGGGCAGAGGGTCATTTTGATAGGGTGACAGTACCAGAGTTTGATGGTGGTTAGTGAATCATATACACATAGCGGGGTGTGAATCTGGACCCCCTAGGTTATATGGTTTTGTAATGAATGGTAAATCAATACAATTAAAAAGAATAAATGCAGTGTTGACAAAATCCGAGACATCACTGAGTGGGCATTTCCTTATAGAAATGGGCCTTTTAGAATTTTCAAGGAAAGAGCTCCATGGTGATAGGTGATGAGATGGAACAAAATCTTCCACATTTTATATATAAACTAATTCTGGTTTAGAATAGCAGTCCTGTAAGAATGCAACTGTCATTTCCTTCTCTGGAAAAGTCTTTTTCAGAAGGGGCAAGAAATTCCATGGCATGCATTAGTAACCAACTTCCACAAGATGGCAACAAAGAACTTAATACCTGGGAATAGAGCTCAAGCATAATATTTTCTGTTGCTTTTGCTCAGCATAATTAAAACTTGCATTGAAAAATGGCTTATAGAACATGAAAACTTGTTCAATAGCAATTAATATAAAGGCACTGCATGTCAAAACTACACGAAATATCCCCTTGCTGTTAAGATGATCTTTACCCCAAAAAATGGAAATAATAAATGTTGGCCAGCATGTGGATAAAATGGAACTCCCATTCGCTGTTGGTAGAAATGCAAATTGGGGTAGAGTTTATGGAAAATGATAAGTATGAGATTTCTTTAGACAATGAAAATGGAAATCCCATGTGGCCCCTGCTATTAAATATCCCTCCCCCAAAGTGGTAATGCTGATGTAAAAAGACTTCTATACTCCTATGTTCATAACAGGAATATCCACAATAACCAAATCATAGAGCCAACCAAGGTACCCACTGACGGACAAGCAGATAAAGATATTGCAGATTATGAGCTTGATGGAATACTATATAGCTACTGAAAGGCTGAAAACATTCCACTGGGACAAAGTGGAAGGACCTCGATGTTGTTATGCTAAGTGAAATAACGTGGGGAATGAAAGGCAGATGCTGGATTTTGCACATAGCTGTGGAATATAAATAGCAAAACGTATTAGGGAAATAGAACAAAAAATGTTGCACTTGGTGAAAAAATTTAACCTAGTTACAACAATGATAAAAAAGAATACACCACTTAAAAAAATCATTTCATCTTTTCTCAATTATCAGCTTTTTCGTTATATTAGAAAGTCACTTAATATGAGAAGATAATGCTTTTAATAAATATTTTCAAAGACTTTCTATAAGCTACTCTCCTCCAGTCCTTTTCCTATTCTCCCAAACTGAACCATCATCATTTTAAAGATTTTTTTCATATATTTTTTTCTATGCACAAATGTTCATATTACATGCATTATTATATAATTTGGTCTTTCCTTTAGAACTTAACGTTTTAATTGTGGTTTGTTGGTTTATAATATTGTACAGGTCTTACAGGCATAGGCAACTACAGTGTGCCCACTACCTAGGCACCCACAGAAATCCACCATAGTCCAGGGGACCTCCTCCCCAATGTGCCTCCCACCCACACCCTCACCATTTGGTAACCTTAATTTAGCAGTGAGATTTCTAGGGTTTGTTTTGCTTTGGTTTTGTGTGTTCCTTTGCTTTTCTCCCCTCTTATTCGACACGAGTGCAATCACATAGTAATTTTCCTTCTTTCCTTTGTCTAACATCATCATCCCTTTCATTTCCACCTACATTTTCTTAAAGGGCAAGAAGCCATATTTTATTGATTTTTTTTCATCTGCGTAATATTCCATTGCGTATTTATACCTCATTTTCCATATCCATTCATTTGTTGTTGGGTGCTCAGGTTGTTGGGCACTTAGACTGTTTTCATATTTGTCTATAACCTGGTCTTTTCACTTGAAAATCTTTTCATGCTAATCAAAAGTGGTGTGTGCATTATTATATGCTTGCATTATTATTCATGTTTTGAAACTGTTATTGATGGTCCTTGAGCTTGCTTACCTTTTTTTTTTTAAGATTTATTTATTTATGCATACAGAACTGGGGTACAGGTCAGAGGCTCAGGGGTACAGATACAGAGCGGAGAGGCTTCACCAGATACAGAGCAGGGAGCAGAACAGGCAGATCGACGAAGTACACTGCTGAGGGGAGCAGCGGACGGGGCCAGGAGAGGTCTGCCACACCATGTGGTCACCTCCGGGGCAGGTGGGGATCTAACTCATGCAGAAGTGGCTTCAGCTTCTCAATGCTGTGCTTTAACCCGCTGCGCCACCAGGGAGGGCCCTGCTTACAATTTTAATGAGCAACTGTGACTAACTTTTGCAGCACATTTCCTCATTTTGTTAATGGATGGAATCATTGAATCAAAATACATGAACATTAATTGACTTCATGTTTATTGCCACAATGCCTGTTGAAAAGTGTTTACAGGATACACTCCCATGGACATAAGATTAGTTTTCACTTAATTTATTCGTTAGATACCCTTATTGCACCCTTACAAAATGCGATTTTGTTTTCTATATTCTTTATTCTTTATTATTCTGTGCAGCTGTATTTATTGTATCCATTTAAAACAATTTCTTATATGTCAAAATTAAATACTAG